GTGGATGTGTCTGCATCTGTGTTTGCTGTACGTGAGCCTATGAACATTGGGTATGTATAAATATGTGTACTTGTTGCGCTGTAAGGAAGAGCCACTCTCTTATTCCATGGATACAGTCTGATCACTTTTCACGCCACACTTATTCTCAATTGCCTGGTCAAAGAATCCAGAGAGCTACATACTCAGTGTGTCATTGAATGTACAAAATGTGTTAATTACGCCTCTGAGTGTAGTTACACCAAAACAACATACTAACAACATACTAACATCTTTCTAACTAATATCTTTCACCACAAATGCAGTCCCCATTTTTAATATTAATTATTTTTTCACTATATTTGGGGAAAGCATTATCCAGTAAGATCATGGAGAATTCAGGGACAAGTACTGAAATTTCTGAAGATGCTTCAACATGAAACCAATGACAGTCCTGCAGTGTCAAGGCAGTCCTGGTCTGATAGAGCATGTGACAGATCAGTGAACTGGCCTGAATCCAGTAGTAGGCGTAACGGGCAGAATTTATATCACAGTATAATTAAGATTACTAAGAGTTTTAACACACATCGCGCTATTCCGTTTTCCTCAATAAAACCATTTTGGATGCTTAAGTAAATTTTTTTTGTAGGTTAGCAATGCTATGTTATTCTAGATGTTCTTTCAGTTTCAATAAAAAAAACATATTTAACAATTTAATTAAATGTAAAATATTTTTATTGGGCAAAAATAATCAAAACAGAAAAAAACAATATGGTCCATATAGCTTTCTAACCCTAATGAGAGCCCACAGCGGCTTTTCTGAGCCTGGCAAAAATTGTGCTGAATGTTGTTTTGCGTCTGAAAGTCATTTGTCTTATGTGCTCATAAAATTCACCGACACCAACGTTCCGATACCCGCGGATACCGTTCCGAGTGTACACTGCTGTGCTAAGACCTACACTGTGATTGTGTGTCTAAAATTACAGCTGCTTCCCCAATACGGGCGAAGACACAAAGACTAGAAAAACACAGGTAAGAGTGTTGTGAAAACATAGAAGTCATATGCATTGTCTGTACTCGATGGACTATTTAAATGTACAGTACAGGTCACCAAAGAACAAGACCACAGCATCGCCTGAAGCAGCTTGCTGAGCGAGGAGCGCCAAAGGCGATGCACACGAAAAATTGCAAGTCTACATGCTCGACTAATAGCTAACAGCTAACTCCAAGAGACTGGCTTTTCCTCCTCCCCCCCCCCACACACACACACACACACTGTTAACCCATTAACTCATTACAATCTGGTGTCGGCTCCTTTCACAGTACACTGGACTAACTTACCTCAGGCTGCAACACACGACACGAAGGGCGATAGAATCAATGTGTTTTGTGTTGTTTATATGGTGCGTTATCTGCATTTATTTGCATGCCATATACCAGTAATGACAAAATTCATACCTTAAAAGGAATTTCAAGTGGTATATCGGATGAACCAGTGTATTACCCACTACTACCTGAATCTCTCCCATACTGACGTCCAGGCCACCAGGCCATCCTTATTGTTGAGCCTTGACCGAAGTGCTGTTGATCCTGATTCTTCTATAATGGCAACATTGTCTGTGGTATGTGTTGGGTGTGGGAGTGTTTCTGTGCCTATATGCATGAGGTTTGCAGCAGCATGCAAGAATGTTCATCTAGCCAAGATGTTCGGGTGTAGGGCCGTGTGCAACTGTTTGACTGGTTATCACTGACTGACAGTGAGTGTTTATTGAGAAAAATTAACAGGTGGGTGTATGAATAATGTGACTCCCAGGCGGACTCCCAGGAAAGATAAGAGGGGTCATGGGTAGACGCTGGCTAAATGAACTTAAATTACTCAGCCTACTGGCAAGGACAGCAATGACCTCACACTGTCTCTGGTACACACACACACACACTCTCTCTTGCAATAGTATTGATTCACTTAAATCTGTTGTACAACATAGATCTTTTGGATTAAACTATGCAAGTCCCAATCCTTTTGCCTCCAGTCCAGTCTGAGGGGCTCTAATGTAGAATATCGGCTGACACTGATGGATAATTCAGCCGCATAAAGGGCAAATATATAGAAAAGTTAGTAATACCAATCCAGTTTAGATGACATATACTAGGTTGCCAAGTAATGCTACAGTAAAAATCACTTTTATTTTTCACCATATGTGTATCCACTGTGGCGCTCTGAACTGGGTACTTTTAATTGTTTTATGTGTTTGTTTTCCAGCCTGCTTTTTTATAGTGTGTGTTAGTATTGAATTATGATCCAGTTTAATTGATATGATGATTTGGCTATTAAGTACTTCTAAACGTTTTTTTTTGCGTATGTACCCTGAAGTGACACACACTGAAAGGTTTTATTTTTTGCATTACCTATGTGAAGTTGTCATTTTTATCGTAACATAAAATTATCGTAACACGTGAGGTAGCCTGTTGGGTTGTATTTAACATAGCACTGTACCTGGTCCATTGAAATATTCCAGAGATTTAACAGTAATAAAGCTGAATTAGTTCTTCATTCAAAGTTTTTTCCATACTACAGAACAGAACATCACCACTCCGGTTTAACTGGAGTCTTTCAATGAGGTGTGTGTGTCTGTGTGTGGGGCAAGTGTTCATATGGCAAGTATTTCTCCATATGTGCTTGGCTGATATCACTGTGTTGGTATCCTGCATCTGTCCTGTGTCCTTGCAATTAAAGTTTCTTTGAGCTGAAAAATAAGTTGTTTGATTATTTATTGGTAGTTGGCATAAGCAGGATGTGTACATTTGTTAGTAGGCCTTGGTGTAGAACTGGTGTGAGCTGTTTGATAGGACATGTTCATCAACTTGAAAATCCATGGAAGAAATGCCCGGTCCTGATCTCCGGACTCATGGAATTTGGTCTCATGGACTTCGAACTCACATTCTGTGACAATGACTGAGGAGCTCAATGTCATCATGTCATAGTTGCAGGGATGCAAGCGTGTAAAAGTGCTAGTGAAAGGTGACTTTACACACTTAAAGTGGTATTACAAGAAACAATTGATCAATCAGTGGAAATCATGGCACATGAACTGTGAATTACTGCCACTGGAAATCTAAATTTGAACTGTTCCCATTTTGTTGTTCACCATCACATCTGTTTTGCTAAGAATTTATTACACAGTCACATTCTGCAGATATCGGTGTCTTGGACACAAGAGGAGTGCAGAAAAAGTCCATGTGATTGTCTTTGTGGACCACATGAATGGCAGTATTAGACACAGTGACCTGAGGCCCTGTGGACTGTGTGCAGAGTACGTTGATGAGTCTGCAACTCTAATGAAGGCTTAAGATTTTAGATTGGGTGAAACAGGGATCAGAGGAAAAAATAAATCAGGAAAAAGGAAGCGAGCTTGGGTGACAGAGTGTAATAAGTGTTATGAGGGTGTTCATGACTCAGGTCAGTGTTTGAGGTTGTTTACACTTTAGGATGGTGCATAGAGGCTCATTACAGTGACACAGGCTACACATTCAGTCACCTAGAAGAGTATAGCTTGACACTGTTACCTGACAAGTCATAAAAAAGTGTCAGAAGATTTAAGCCTAGAGGTGTGTGCCCCTGAAGTAAGGGATCATAAGGTCAAGTGCAATACAGTAAGTAACACTATTTAGGTATAAAGTGATATTACTCCAGTGAGTGCAGCACAATTCGCTATCTCTCTAAGGGGGGCAGCAATGACCTAGCTCTTCCTTTTCAAATTGTTTTGTCTTTTTGGTGAAAGTGGAAGAGAGGTTCTTTGGCCTGCTGCACAGGCTGTGTGATCTCTAATGGAATTACACAGTAGAGTAAAACAGGCGGTGTCTTATTGTGTTCTCTGTGCGTGGTTTTACATGTTTCAGCAGTCTTTCATTAACCACACAGTGTGATAATGGTGAAGAAGTTACTGTGCTGCTCAATTCTGATACATTTTCTGGGCTGATCTGCCCCCTGGCTACAGTTTTGAGTAACTGCAAAATTTCTTTTGTATTTATTTGACACACTCTGTTGATCTGTGTCTTTTAATGATCAATATCCCTTTAAATTTAGTCGTACATTTTACTGTTGTACTCAGTACAAAATTAATATCCTAATGTATTAATATCTCATTTACGAAAAATCTTGATGACTAATGAATTTATTGTATCACTTGTGTCTTTTATTGGGCACGGATCTTAGTTTAATAATTGTTAGAGCTGTCATGTCTAATTAATTAAATGTGATTACATTATCAAAAGATCAAAATTAGCATTGATTAAATTTACTTTCTCAATGAAGGTTTGGGAATTGGTGTGTCTTTTATATACGGTGACTCAAAAAAAAAAAAAAGTTCATTGTGTTACGACACAAAATGTGGAAACGAGAGGCATTTATTTTAAACAGAACATTCCAACACTGTAACTTTCTTTTGGGAAAGTATTCTTTCAGAAGGCAACTGATGTGTTATGTTATTGTATCATTCTTTAAACAGTTTCTTTGCAGACTTTACATCCAAAATGCCTTTCTACACTTCTGAGTTCATAATCCCATCAGTGAACACAAACTCACTGACACTGTTGTAAGAAAAACAGCCCCAGACTCTCTGCTTTATGGTACTCTTTGTACAGCCTGCTTGGACTCCACAGTTAGTTTGTTGTTGTGCTAAAAGTGTTTTTCTCAAAGTGAAATCATTTTGTTAAACATTTAATAAGGCAAACCAAATAACTTAATTAAAGTTTACCAGTGGTTAAATGATCAAGGGGCCAAATACTTTTTGGGACCACTGTAAATATTTTAAATGAAGCATATCTTTTTCCGTATTTGATTTTTCCGTATTTTTGGCGTATTTGATTTTTATTGGCTGTCCTTTCTGTAAAAATCTTAATCATCGAATCATTGGTAGATTAATTAATCAAATAAAATGTAGTATATTTTTTGTTTTTTGATGATTTATTTTGATTTTTTTCCTGTGCTCCTCTATCTTTCCCCCCTCTTTTCTTCCTTTGAACAGACCTTCAAACGACTCATTCCTGATGAGGTAGGTGAAGAAGTGTGGTTGGTTCCTCACATGCATGCACACACATTGTGTGTGTGTTGCATGGCTAACTCTCTTAACTTTGTTAGTGTCTCCCTAACAGCACTCAATCCACTGTCATCTGTGATGTTTTATCACCACCATTACTTTTGAGCTTTCTCCTTTCACCTTAACGTCTGCGTGCACATCGCTGTTTAATGTCACCCACCCAGTCTCAGCTGTGTGCTGCTGGCTGCATTGTCTAGCAGAACTAATGTGTCGAAACATGCTTTCTCTTTGCTGACTCTATAAAACAACCAGTGTTTAAGCTGCATTCTGAAAGATTAGAAATACTGTGTCTGAATCTAAATATAACCTGTAAACACTGCCTTTCTGAGTCATGATACCTCTAACCCTGTGTGTTTAGACCAGTCGGCAGTGTTATAAGGCATTTTAATTGGCAATGCTCTCAGTTTGTAAGATGTCTCTGAGCTAGTTTGAGCTACCAAAGAAGAAAAGTTACATTCAGCATTATCTTTCAGAGTGCACCTCTAACATGATACTGACAAAACATTTACAATTTTTTTTATTTCCCAAAAAGTGAAAAATATCTTTTGTTGACTTTTTAACCAATCTGTTCTGTGCTGTATGTATGTGTGTGAAAAGTTCAGGGTAAACCTGAGAAGCTTTAGGTGCTTCATGTCAAGTTTACAGGTTTACCTTGAATTTACTGCTAAGAAAATGTAGCCGTTCATTATACAGAATGCATAAAGACATAATGCTGTTGGTTTAGAGAGTTTATGGTTTAATCTTAACTTTAGCTTCATGCTTTTGCTGCTCCTTTTACATGTGTATATGTTTATATGGTAAAACTTCATGCCCAGCAGTGACACCTGCTGGCGCAATTGTGTTGTTTGTTTTGGGATTGTAACTCTGTAAATAAATTGCAGCTTTTCATATGAATACAACGAATAATAACTAAGATATTTGGAAGTGTTGCTCTTTGCACTGATTTAGCTGATCATAGTGATTGACCCTATTGCAATCTAAGGGTCAGCAGTAGTATGTGGTCATGGAGTTAGGTGTGATTGCCCCAAAGTCTGTTAGAGTAGTCTAGACTATGGAGCATGTATGTAAAAGTAGTTATATGCAGTTATTTGTAGAAGTAGTGTATACATAGTGTCTTAATGAGTGGCTTTCAGACAGATTTCATAATCTTTGTCCATATGGCAGCTGGAACGGTTCACAAGCATGCGGATGAAGAAGGAAAAGGAGAAGTCAAGTACAATGAGCCACAGACACTCGTCTGCTGCACAGTATGAGATTTCAGCACAAACAGCCATGCTGCAGGACCACTCTGATGACTACATCCTGGAGCTCTTTGAGCAGATGCTGGTGAGAAGATTTATTTGTCACTTTTACTCAATTAAACTTGAGAAGAAAAAAAGTTTTGGATGACTAGTGTCTCTCAGTAAGAAAAAATTAAATCTAATAGACAAAGCCATTTATAGGCATTTTTCCAATACGCGATTTTGTTATTTTTAGTGAAGTCTAGTTTCTTTTTTGAATATTTTATTAAATTTAATTTAAAATTATTTTTAGTATTGTTAATCAGTGTTTATACTCAAATTGATTAACACTAAACATTTATTATTAATTGATAGATTCAGTTAATTACCCATTGATGGCGACAGCTCTGGTATGTACAGTCATATGAAAAAACAATTTGACGCATGGTCAGAAAGTAAAATGAGCCATGGCTTTTGCACAGACAACATTTTATGTTTTATTTTTGTTTTTCTATATGCCATTTTCAGCAGATAAACAGTAACTGAGCATTAAAATGTGCAGAATTGTGTTTAAGAGGGTGTGTTAGCTTATTTTGATTTACAAAAACAACAAAACATTTTCAATTTGATTGTCCTGGTCGCTTAAACTTCTGCACACGACACTATACGAGTGTTGGTATAACTGAGTAAGGAGTGTTTTGGGGCTTCAGTTATGTTGTGTATGTATATGAATGTGTTTATATAATACTTAGTAACAGTGTTCTAGAGCTTCAGTATCAGTGTAACTTACCGAATCTCCGCTCTCTCTTGCCGACTCTCTTCAGGTGGATATGAATCTGAATGAGGAGAAGCAGCGGCCACTGAGGCAGAAGGACATTGCCATTAAAAGAGAGATGGTTTCTCAGTACTTGCATACATCCACACATGTAAGTGCCACACACACACACACACACACACACACACACACACACACACACACACACACAGACAGACATGCACAGACACACACTCTGACACTTCACACGTGACCATAACTGCGTGCAGCCATAGCTCTGTGAGTTTCAGCCTATAGTGTGGAGACCCCTTGAGGTCAGAATTAAACACTGCAGGTGGATTCTGTGTCCACAGGGCGGGGACAGAGTTCCTCTCCCAAAGAGCCTACCACGCTGCATGGTTTTCCAAAAACCATACACTCCTGATTCAACTCATCATAGGCTTGGTTAACTAATTAGTGCAGTCAAGGGTTTTTTTTTTTTCCATGTAAAAAGTAGAGCATTTCATTATAGCTATGTGAGTGGACAAAATAAGCTTCGTCAAAATGTATTTAATTACTTTCAATAATTCAATAAAAATGTTTTCATCATGTGAACACAGGGTTCACATAAATCTGAACAGGAAAATCTGTTGTCCATAGAATGAGCACAGTCTCCGGTTTTAATAACTGACGTCTAGTAAGAACAGCTGCATGTTCCAACTCCTCCATGATTGTAACACTCGTGTCGTTTTGAGCGCAATGGCATCATTCCACTTTATTACCCTTATCAAGTGCACTGCTGGTCGATGTATCCATGGTTGTCCCATGAAGATTGTCCAGTGTGGTCTGTTGAAAGCATCTGCCAGTGCTAATGTTACTGATATTATTGAAATTAATTACATTAAGTGTTATAAACATAGTAATGTTGATACCACGGTTTTATCTTCATGAAAGAACAGACTGTGTTCATGGTTAATTCCTCAAAAATATAGAATAAACCTGATCATAAAATTATGATTGCTTTGAAAGTAAGCAAAATGAAGAAATAGTGGTAGGCTGCATCAGTTGTGGTTTTGACATAGAGATGATTTTGGTGGTAGGGTTTGTAAATGTGTATGAAGGTTGTGTAATGTCCAGTTGAAACACATACGGTTGCACCCTGTCATGCTAATTTTAGGGATTCATGATTCAAATGAGGACATATAGTCAATGACTGCTCCCTAATTTCTGTGTTCTAAGCATTTTAATGAGCAAATTGTTTATGGATGACAGATGGAGTTGAAATGCTGTAAATATTTGTATTTCTGTGTGTGTGTGTGTGTGTGTGTGTGTGTGTACTCATACACATAGGGGCAGAACCAAAAGGAAAGCTCCAAATCTGCAGTGATGTACATCCAGGAGCTAAAAACTGAACCCAGGGATACACAGCTGCTGAGCTGCCTTGAGTCTCTGCGTGTCTCCCTTAACAACAACCCTGTCAGGTAACACACACACACCCACTCAACCACAGACTCTTTCTTACAAATGCACATGTTCACACTTTATATGTATGGGGAATGTATATGATAATTTAAATGATAATCATGTGTTTGCACTGTGACTGAATGGTAACTGTGTTTGTGCACAGCTGGGTGCAGACGTTTGGAGTTGAAGGTTTGGCTTTGCTGCTCAGCTTCCTCAAGAAGCTCCAGGAAGAGAAAGAGGAATATCCGTAAGACGTTCTCCCCCAAAAGCCACACAGTTCTTATGTGCTTTATTTTAAGACGCTTTTAGAAATCATCATCAAGTGAAAAGTGTAAACGACAGCAAGTAAATCGGGTTGCACAAAAACATTTTTTATTGAAACCAGCTAGAACTTATTTTCTTATTGATAGAAAATCACTTAATAGAAAACCAAGAACACAGACAAGCCTTTACAACACTGTTGACTATTATTTGTATAGGACTGTCACTATTGATCATGTTAGTAATCAGTGAATCTAGAGATTTACAACTAATCATATACACACATCATCTAAACCGCTTATCCTTCTGGGTCACGGATACAACTAATCAGTTTAAAAAAAAAAACAAAAAAACAAACACCCAAGTAAAAAACTGTGTGGCAAATAATGCTGACAATTATGTGTCAGTTTCAAGTGTGTGTCAGTCTCTCTTGCTTTTTGTAAAATAAAACCAGTAGGAGAAAATATAATTATCATTCAAGTAGTCAAATAACCGTCACAGATTCACTGAAATAGTACAATTAATTAATTTTTATTATTATTTTTAATTAATAGACTTTGAGACATAATGGAAAGTAAAATCAGTCAGTGATCTGCAACTTTGTGCAGTTTCTTTTGTTAGTAATATTTAGTAATATTTATTTATATTTCTCTCCTCCACACTCTCTCTCTCTCTCTCTCTCTCTCTCTCTCTCTCTCTCTCTCTCTCTCTCTCTCACCCCCTACCCACCTTCTCTGTTGCCCCCCCCCCTTGCAGGAATTCTAGCATTTCAGTAAAGTGCCAACATGAGATCATCCGCTGCCTCAAAGCCTTCATGAACAACAAGGTGTGTGAGAATACAGCACGTCCTGTACACACTCCACTCGGCTAACGGATTACAGCCTCAGTCATTCTGACAAACCGCAGCTCTTCAGCTTACAGCTTAGTCGCTTGTTATACAGATGTTTACACTTTTTATGCGGATTTTACAGTAATTCTCCCTAAAGCCCTAATCTCAGAAATCAGTGCTGTTGGCAGGGTAATTTTTGGCAATACACTGATAAAGACTTGTAGTTGTAGTGATTGACTGGTTTTAACAGCTAATGGTGCTAGGAGCAGAATCATTTTGGGAAAATTTTGCTTTAATTTTAGCTTATATGAGTAGCCCTGTCTTCTGTACTCTACTCATATTTACTTCTGTTGTATTTTTAGTCCTATTCCTGGCTCAGAATTAGTTACAAGTGGGAGGCATAAGTGAGCTGACATTTGTGTTATATTGAAAAATGAATTACTCTGTATGCTAGAAGTGAGTTACTGATTAACTGTCCGGTTCTGTCCCTATTTGCAATTCTATGTGCTACATTGAAGTTGAAGATATTGCATTAATAGCATATGATTTAGGAACCTCTACAAGCTGGAATATGTAGATATGCTTGGGTGAAAAAACACGATTCACTTGTTTGCTCACAATCCATTGTAATATCTGATCCTGTGCATTGGCGCAATTGGCAGTCTTCTTCAGAAATACCGTTGTTGGTCTGTTGTGCTGATTACAGGATAGTGCCAACCCAGAGTGGTGCCACCATTGCAATCACTAATAACATCAGTAATCACCCAGTAATAGTGCATTCCCATGCTGACACCAAGAAGCAGCACACAGTTTGAGAAAGGCAGTTGCCTTTCAATTTTCTGTTCTGAAAAAGCCCTGATATGTGAGGTTAATTTCACTCATTATTCCATAGATGCAGGAATCCTAACTTTAGTGTTTTGTAAGTTTTTTGGTATTGAGTGGGTGTTTATGGCTTTTTTTTCCACCTAACACTTACAAGTTTAGAGCTGCTGTTTTGGTATACAAAGATAGTAATGATATGCACAAGTAGTAATATTAATACATAATTACATTTAAATTGAGTTCACATTCTGTATTGACAGGTTATTGTCTGCATTATACTTATAACTTTTTAAATTTATTTTGAATTCAGAGAATAAATTGAAAATGAAAATGAAAAATAAAATTTTTCATTAAATTCAACACTTTGAATTTTAGGGACACTAATCTATGACTGAGTGAATCTCGTTTATATTTGAATGTTGAGTTGAGTTGTGATGGTTTTTCCCACTGTGTGTCAGTACGGTCTGAAAGCCATGCTGCACTCGCCTGATGGAATTTCACTCTTGGTCCGAGCCATCAATCCCAGCGTTCCCTCATATGATGGTGGACGCTGTTAAACTTCTGTCGGCCATCTGCATCCTTGATGACCCTGAAAACCTGTGAGTATATATCCTTGTATATATGGAATAAGGTATAATGTAGCTGTGAGTTAGATTCATTCAAGATTCAGAGGTTTGTCAGGAGCACAGAGAAAAAGACAGAAGTAGAGCATGTCACTTATGTTTTATCTTAATGGTAACCATGATTAAACCTTTTATAAACTTTTTTTATAGATGTTTTTGTTAATAAGAGTCAGGGAAAGCCTATGTCTCATATGTTACCTCATAATATCTCCCAATACACTTTACCTTTGGATGGAGTGAATATGTATTAGCTATGTTTCTCTAAGACAGTCATATTTTGTCAGCATGTTTCTTTGATATGCGTACCAAGCCCATGAGAGTAATGGCTTGAAATTTGTGTTTCTGATGTGTGTTGCAGTCATGAACGTGTGCTGGAGTCTATAACAGAGCTGGCAGAGGAAAGGGACATTGAGAGATTTCAGCCCTTACTGTCTGGCATGCGCAAATCTAATATTGCTCTCAAGGTAACGTACATTCTTTTTAATGAGAGTGCATTTTGTCTACAAAGTAGATGAGTTCTGTCTGCAAAGTAGATTTTAGACATGTAAGGTAATACAAAAGCATTAAAAGTAGACAGAATAAAATACACAATTACCTGAATATTACAATATTACATTACTTCTATTTATACAATGTAGACTGTAGTGTTTGTCTTGTTTCTCTCCATTTTCTTTGTAAAAGCTACAGACTTTTTTATTATTTAATGAAATTAAAGGTGTTTAAGAAATTACATTGATGTCTGCCTCAATGTGAACCTGTCTCCTCTGTATATGGTATGTGTGCATTCAGGGTGGCTGTATGCAGCTGATCAATGCTCTCATTAGTAGAGGAGACGAGCTGGACTTCAGGATTCATATACGCTCTGAGCTCATGAGACTGGGACTGAGAGAGCTACTTGCTGTGAGTCTTATGCATGCACAAACACAAGAGTGCCTAACTCAGGTACTGTATTTATTGAGCTAATACTAGCATAACTAACATTTAGAAGTTGAGTTGTTACTGTTCCTTTTCAAACCCCTGACAAATGTGATACATTTAATACATTTTTGTTGATCTCAAAATATTGAATAATACATCTAAAAATGCCAATTGGTATCAAATTAATAATACACAAGTCTACATTATATAAGATATTATTATATATAAAATTAACATGATTAAAATGACAGTTGATTCCAAATAAGTTTTCTGAATTTTTGGTAGTGTATTATGAGTTAAAAATTACAGGCTGCATGTTTAACATTAATTTCTCCACTTGTTTGAGAAATACGAGTGAGAATAATTAAATTGGAGCATGCTTTTTATATTGCTGATGATAACTGGGACTTAAGGATTAATTACTTAAGATTTGCTTATTACTTAATCTCTTATTTAAGTGCCTTTTCTGTGTTTACCCTGTGTCTCCTGAGCAGGAAGTGAGGCTCATTGAGAATGAAGAGCTGCGAGTGCAGCTTCAGGTTTTTGATGAACAGGCTGAAGAGGACTCTGAAGACCTCCGGTCACGACTCTACGATGTTCGCATTGAGATGGAATATCCTTTTGCTTGGATCCCAGTTCAGTTTCCCCTGTCCACTGGACTGGTAGAGGCTTAGAGATGAATGGCATTAGCTAGGAGCTCGGGGCAAAGGTCTTTTTAGAGTTGCAGAGATGGAGTTAAGAAAAGGAATTGATGTGTTGATGAGAGAGTTACTTCTGTTTTTCTGTTGAGCTTCATGTAGTTCTGAAATTAACCACCAGGTAGCTCAAGGGTGACAAAACATTTTAAGATGTTGAAAGTAATGAAAAAAGCAATAGATGATGTTTTATTTTATTTATTATTTTTTTAATCCACTGCTAAATTTAGTGATGTGGGCACTTTGACAAAACTTTTATGACCTGCACATTTGTTTGTTATTTATTGATGCTTTTCCAACTAGATTGAGTTTGCAGTGTCACTGATTTGGGAAGACAGTTTTCAGTTTCAGCCACCAGGTGGTGCATGGAAACCTAATGGTTTCATCGTCTTTGTTGTAAAACAATATTCCAGTACTTTTCTTGAATGTCTTGGTGGGGAAAAAAGGAAAAAAGTTGTAGTAAATGAAAATCGGTCTTTTCTGAACATTGATTGCATTGTAGTTTCATGGCAGCTCACAAAATCAGTGACTTATAAAATGTAAATTTTGCTAGATCTTAAGTTTGTTTGTTTAGCAGTTGTGTTTCTCCTTAATAGCTTGTTTTTTACTGACATGTCGGAGGTGTTCCAGATCCTACTGAACACAGTGAAGGATTCTAAAGCTGAAGGCTTCTTCCTCTCCATTTTGCAGCACCTGCTGCTGGTGCGCAGTGACTACATGGTTAGGTATGACTTTTGACCCCTCATTTTACTGTGAGCTCTCAGTGACCCTTAGAGCTGTATAAGTCAAATGGGAAGGTGATGTAGGAATGAAAACAGAATGAAAGAAGGAAAGAATGCCAAGAATGAAATGAGGCTGGGTTTTAAACAGCAGTCTGTTATGCATAAACTTAATAGTATGCATAATTATGCATACTAAATTATGCATAAATAAATAATTGGTTTCCCTTCTGAAAATGTGCTTTCTGTCCAGTTTACAGTACTGCGTATGAGGTCAATTTAAGTAAATAAAACCTCAAAAATCAAAACATGCTGTCGGGTCTGTAAGACATTCTGTTTCCATAGAGTAGCAGTGCTCAGGAAGAACAGGCTCTTTAACTTTATTTATGCAGACTTAAGTATAATCTGATACCATTATGCTGGGATGTATTCTGAAAAAATTATGATTTTGAATTTTATCTTTTAGCCTTAGAAAGAGCAAGTAAATGATTGCTAAAGAAAAGGAGAAAGAAAGAAATACTAAATGTAAAAGATGTGATTTTAATCATGAATTTTTATACTCGGTACAGTGCAAGACTTTTGATGAGTGGGAGTGAGGGAGTGCAGCAGAAGAATGATAATCTCTATTACTGCTGATTGTGTGGTTGCGAGACTGGCATTTCAGAGCAGAGAGAGAGAGGGCGGGTGAGAGAGTGAGAGTGACATGAGCATCAAAATGGAACCGATGGATGGAGGGAGGAAAGGAAGGAGAAAGGATTTGATTGATGAGTAATGGGAGGCGAGATTGATTGCCATCAGCAGCCATCTCTAAATGTAACTCTAAATGTAACACGCCCCCATGTCACTTACACACACACACACACACACACACACACCCACAGAGTGAGGCTCCTACAAAATGCTTTTATTTTGAGTTAAGAGGCTGCACTTAGACCCTGTTTTACGCCTGGTCATTTCATGTAATTGGTATCTGTATTGTATTCTGATAAGATTTTAGCCTTATGCCTTTACAACTGGTCGTCAAATGTGTCTCGGGTTCATCAGGCACACAAAATGGCAATTCTTAAGAGTAATTAGCATCCTGCACTGGTTATTGCCATTATGAACTATGTGTGTTAACCTCTTTCGGCATGCAGTTCCTCCTAGTGTAAATTGACTTGGATATCTTTAATGAAAATATTCAACTAATAAAAAAACTTTATTACTGTATTAAATTAACGCCATTGGCTCTCTGTGTATGAAATGTGGTGACTTTATGTTGAGCTGCTTGTAAGCAATGAGGGGTGAAAGGGTGAGGAGCAAGAACCCCTTGCTATGAAAACAATTCACACCTCTCCACAAATGACAACCATGCCAAGATAAAATGGAGCACAACTGTAGCTTTGTTAATATCACAAAAGCCACAGTAAGAATAGCATGTAAAAACAGTAAAACTGCTTTTTATAAAAAAGTTGACTTGCTGGATCACCTTTGAAGATGAAACTCCAGTCATACATAAATCATGCACATTTCCATTTAAATATGTTTTATTATTGTTACTGGGCAAGAAAAATGCATAGGTCAATTGAGGCATGTCCTTCAAAACAGATGGACGTTACAATTTACGCTACTTTTTTAAGCTATCCAGCTTCACTAAAGGCCGGCAAAGCAGGCTACTAAACTCAGGAGAAACTCATGTTAGGAGATGAACCGAAGGAGCAGCAGTGCCTCTGTTAAATGGCAACAGTCTAGATGCAACCCCTTTCCTGTATGCCAAACAGCAGAGGAAGGTACTGTCACAGTGTTAGGAGGGGTTTTCCTTGTTGAATGTAGCTTGGAGAGATATGTGTTTACACTTGTGCCTAAAAGGTCTGGCTGAAATGTGTTTCAGAGCTTCACCTGCATTGGTTTGTGTGATTGGATTTAAATCTTGACTACATTTAAACCTGCATTTTATGTGGATTAGCCTTGTCTATGTATAATCCTGATACTCTAAATGACCAGTTGTAAATGGCGTCTTAGACACGCGCACACACATGTGGAATCAGAAAAGTGTGTCTAGCTCCTTAGAACACATTGATGCGGTTATTCATACAGATCCCTGCTTTAATCCCCTTTGTGTATTACAGGTTGAAATAGAACTGCGTTTCAGAGATCACATCTGTGACTACGTTCACACACTTTCCCACACGCGCGCACACACACACACACCTACCTTTCCTCTTTCTCTTTAGAGACTGATTTCAAATGAACAAGCTCAAAGAAAGCTAGAGCTAGATGATTTAGAGAGAGAGAGACTGTGAATGGTTTAAAGATGTCAGACTTGTTGCTCGTTTCTTGTCGACGCGATGTGATCTGACAGGCAGGAAATTGGAGTGCTTCTGTCTGTCCATTAGGCTGTGTGTCTCTGAAGGCGAAAAACAGACGAGTAATGGAAGGGTTAAACAGCACACTCAATTCTTCACACTCTTTCTTGCTCTTATACTTGTCTTGCGTGTGCTAACGTATACATGCATACACACATGCATACGTACACATTCGCATGCATACATACATCTAATGAGTGGTTTCATCTATAACAGCTCTCACTGCCATCCCCTCCTTACATTTCATTCTCTAATCTTTCTTCCCACTTACTTTCTCCTCACTTTTTCTGTCTCACTCTCTTTTTTCCTCCCTCTTACTCTCTTTCCGTTATGTTCTTTCTCTAATTTCTCCCTCTGACTTTCTCTTTGTCTCTCTCTTTCCTTCTTGCTATCTCTCTGTTCTGTCTTACTCTCCCTTTCTTTTCCTTCCCTTTCTTTTTCCATCAAATTTTCTCCCTCCCTCTGTTTTTCTCTTTATCTTCCTCCCTCTTTTTCTGTCTCTTTGTCTCTCTCTATCCTCAACTTCATCTTTCTCTTTGTCTCTTTCTCTGTCTTTTTCTCCTTCTTGATCTTTTTTTATTCTTTTATTCTCTCTCACCCTCTCTTTGTGTTTCTCCCTTCTTCTGTCTTTGCCTCTCCATCTTTTTTCCATCTCTCTCTCTCTCTCTCTGTCTGTCTGTCTGTCTGTCTGTCTCTGTCTGTCTGTCTGTCTTTTTTTCTGACGCCCTCATTTTCTTCAGTTTGCACTTGGTTACACACTGAACAAATAGACCACATTTGACAGGATGGATATAAAAATGAAAGCCTGAGAAAGATAGAGGGAGCAAAAGAAAACACAAACTGAAATGGAGTGAGTGTAATGTAAGAAGAGATGGGGACATACGGAGGAAAGGAGAGGTGCGGAATAGGCGAAAGCTTGCAAGTGAGAGAACGTGATTCTTCTATATTTGGAGTCAGTTGGCTGCTGTAATCAGCAATATTTACCTGTTGTGGTGAATACAGCATCACTACATTCGAATTGCTGACACCATTAGGAAACTGGTAATTGGTTCTACAGGACTGCTTGCCTCGCATCCATCAACCAAATATCAATTCTGTGTGGTTCAGGTCCTACTGCACACAGTCTGAAACACATTTCTGTACATCTGAGTAGCTGTGAAGACATAACAAAACAATAATTTCATGTATGAATATAAACTTAATGAGAGCTGAACATGGGGTTTTCTTAGACAAGGAGAAACCTGTATTAAAAATGGTCACTAGATGTCTCTCTCGCTCCACCGAAAAATTTTAGGATGATTGCAGGGGGAGGGGGGAAAATAACAGAAAGAAAGAGGGGGGGGGGGACGAGTAGAAAGAGAGTGAGGCCAAATAAAGGAGAGAGAGAGAGAAACAGCTTGGTGGAAAATGAAGAAAGTATTGAGTTACTTTCACACCAGGTCACGATGCCAGACTCCTCGCAAATGGAGTGTGTCTGCAAGCCCATCAAATATCTGACCATCGGGACACACACACTCACTCAAATATAAGTTCTTTCAAAGGTGAAGAAAGAGAAGCAGTGCAAGCGCACACGTGCACATGCCAGTCAATTGACTAGAGCTACACTTGAACTCTTTTTATATCTCTTACACACACACACACACACACAGCTAGTACAATGCTGTGTACTCGCTCTGATAACGCACTCTAAGTCTGAGTGGATTGAAGCTTGGTTTACATACGCTCAGATCCTAGTAGCAAGCTCAAGGTCACAGTGCTGAAATGCTTTGTGTTTCTGTATTGATTAATTTCACTCATTACTCCTTGGCCCTAATAAAGGCCTCTTCATACTCTAATTTAGAAAACATTATCCAGCCTCTCAAGCTGCAGTCTGACCGTATCCCTGAAGGCTGCGAGTGTGTGTTGTGTTAATGTTATTACCCTTATTCATTCTCACTCAATCTCTCCTCTCTCTTTTGTTCTCTTACAGGCCACAGTACTATAAGTTGATAGATGAGTGCATAGCTCAGATTGTGTTACGTCGGAATGGCTGCGATCCAGACTTCAAATGCAGAAACCTGCAACTAGATGTTGAAGGACTGATAGGTAATGTGCACACAAGTACATGAATGCACATACATATACTCATGCAATAAAGAAAAAAAAATGTATGCTGTTCTTCTAGGATACTGTAGGAAAGGTGAATATTATATATAGAACCATCATTACTCAAAGAACTGTTTGAATGCATAAAAGGTTCTGTGCATTATTAAATCATTATTTTCTCTGTTGTACATGCATCTTTAAAAATGTTTAAAAATGGTTCTATGATGCACCAAAGAGTTCTGGTATTGTTACAAGGTAGGTTTTGTTAAGAATGGAAGTAATTTAAGCAAACATAATAACTGACATCTTTGTTTTATACATGCTTGAAGCTTATGCTCAGTCAGTGCTGTCATTCCAGTTCATTCCACTATGTGGCAGCACAGAGCACTCGGGCATATTAGTAAAAGAGGTGGTTTTGGGGAGCGGCAGCATTAAAGTGCTTGCGTTTTTAGATGCAGTTTGTAGTTGAAATGAATTAAAATAAAACAGAAACTGACCAGCCAAAGGATTCTGAAGCTATGAATGTTTTTTATTTTTATTGATGTTTCTTGACTGACTTTGTGGATTGTAAGGGTTCCGTTATTTTGGGCCCCATTCAGTAGTGGTCACACTGCTGGGTGCTGTGAGTGAAAAGACCCATGCTAAAGCGGGTGGCTGCTAAATGTTCTGCTACAGTATCTTGTCTGATGCATTTAGCTGATATTTATTGCTGTATTAGATGGTATCACAGCACATTTCCAGTCTCAGGGTGCAGTTAACCACTGAATGAAGTAATAGCTGTGCTGACCACTGTAGTCTAGGTGTGTGTGTGTGTGTGTGTGTGTGTGTGTGTGTGTGTGTGTGTGTGTGTGTGTGTGCGTGCTATTCGCTTGGGTAGTATGCTGCAGGGATATTTTAAATGCTTTCAGAAATCCTCTACTCCTTTTTCTAGCTTCTCATATTCAGAGAAAAACAGCCTAATTCTGCCCTGCCTGTGTTATTTAAAGATTTCCTTTGAACTCCAAACACTTCTGCATTCTGCTCCCAGGTTTTTCCCTCCACTCGTTCTTTTCTCTTATTTGGGTTCTTGTCCCATTTAGTGTGGCTATGAAAAGTAAGTACAGTTCCCTTGCTCACACTCTTTTACCCCCTCTCCTTTTCATGGCCTTGTCCTCCGTTTCCATCCTCATTAATTTTCTCCAGTTGTCTCTACTTTTTTGGTTGTTTATTTCTTGCTCTTTCGCATCCTCTTGTTTTGCTTTCTTTCTGTCTAGCTGGCATTGATTTTCTGGTGTCTTTGTGTGTGTGGGTCAGTAACAGGCGTTTCTCCACCTTAGGCTCTTATTGCTACCTGAGCAGCCTTATTATCATAACTCTCCAGAAGCTGCTTTCATTGGCCCTTCACCTCAAAAGTGGCTCTCCCTCCCCTGTTTAAAATCCACTCCTTACAGGTCAAACCAAAGGTCTAGCACTTCCTCCAGCTGTGTTTGATCTCAGTTTCTGAAGAATAGTTCTATGACACGTTTTATTAGAAAATAGCGCATATCAGAGAAAGAACTACGAGTTTAATGTGTGAACTGAAAAAGGAAATGCAAATAAATTTTTGGGTTTAGACTGCCTTTACCCACTTTTTACTATGTATTACTTCTTTGGAAATGGTTGTGGTTGTTTTTATTTCACATTGTGGAAGAGAGAGATGTGTGTGTGTGTGTGTGTGTGTGTGTGTGTGTGTGTGTGTGTGTGTGTGTGTGTGTCTGTAAAAGAGAGAGGGGATGGGATTTTAATTAGGTTGCTCAGTAATCGGAGCACGAATCAGAGGAGACACACAGACTCATCACAGTGAAGGGCACTTTATCCCCACAGCCAGAAAAAACGTGACACACCTCCCTCTCTCTCTCTCTCTCTCTCACTCACTCACTCACTCACTCACTCACTCATTCTCTCTCTCTCTCTCTCTCTCTCTCTCTTCCCCTCTCTAGATAACATGGTGGATAAGACGAAAGTGGAGATCAGTGAGGCCAAGGCCACAGAGCTGGAGAAAAAGGTAAACACACGCACACAAGCACACTCTCTCTTATTCATTCTGACCTTGCCCCTGCCCAAGAAATACTGACTAAAGTCAGTGAGTTTGATTCAAGACTCGTGACTCCTTAAATTTCAGCGTGAGAAAAAGAAAACGTGAGTAAAACTGATTTCATTAGGATGCTACCCTATATACAGTAAATGATAAAACTTCTCCCCATCTTACATGTGTGAACTTTCCTGTTAGTGTCTTTGTGGCCATGCAAGGGAATTACTGCAGTGGTGTTCTCATGGCATTCAGTTCAACTTCAAATATTGAGCCTTTCGTTATAGAATAATCTTCGGTCTGATGAACAGAATGAAGGGCTACATAAAGTAATTGTGTTTGGCTAGCATGTAGTTTGGATAGGAAATTATGCTGGCTAGCTAGATAGCATACATGCTATATAGATTGCAGATTTTGTTTCAAGTTGTTTCAGCTCCTTCCTTTAAACACCATGTTTACTGCATGTAGCTTTTCAGTTCTGTCCTTCACACTGGAGATGTTTCTGTAATAAAAAGCTTGTTGTTTGTAGCTGTGCTAAACTGATGGTTTTTAGTAGGGGTTTACTTTTCTACAATGCAATGCCTGCAGCTAATAACGAGATTGAAGTAAAATTCTCTACTAAAGGCTGAAGACTCAAATCACACTCGCACCCCAGAGACTCACAACTCGACTCACACTTGCATGCCAAAGATTTGAGACTTGGGCTCCCAAAGCTTCAAAACTTGCATTCCCACCCTAAAGATTTGAGTCACGTTTTGGACCCCAGAGACTGGACACTTGACTTGGAATTGCAGCCCAGAGAATCAAGAGTCCATTTGGATGTGCACTTCAAAGACTCAAGACTTTATTCAGACTCACAACCCAAAGACTCAATTCGGACTCGCACCCCAGAGACTCGAGACTCGACTGGGACTCGCATGAATTAACTTGTGAACATTTCTGCCATGCACACATGGATTAGCTATTCACAAGGTCACACACCCACCAATCACTTTTCGACTGCCCTGAGTATTTTGCATATAACCTACCTTCTTCAAAACTCCCAGACACCCTTAGTGATACACACACAAACACCTACGCACGCACACATTCTCAGTGTCAGCTGGCAGATGTGTAATTTGTGAGGGGAGATGGGAGCAGACAGGAGATTTCCTCTTCCTCTCTCTGACAGGCTCTCTCTTAATCCCTCCCAGCAAGACTCCCTCTCACACAGTCTGCAATTATCGCCTGTGTGCATGTGTGAGTGTACACACGAACGTACTGCAATTTCCCTGTCACTGCCCGAAATTGGGGCATAAGGAGATGCCCTCTCTCCAATTTGTGAGTGTGTGTGTATGTGTCTATGGAGGATGACCCCTATCAGGAGGCTGTCAGACGAGTGTTTACTCTTCCTCTCCCTTTCTTCCTCATTCCTCCCTGTCTAATTTAGAGTAATAGCTGTGTGGCAAAGGAGAAGAGGAGAGAGACAGACTCTCATTACCAGCACACATGCAGAGAGTGTGTGTGTGTGTGTGTGTGTGTGTGTGTGTGTGTGTGTGTGTGTGTGTGTGTGTGTGACCCTTCAGTTTCCACTGATGCCACATAATTACATGTCTGGCTTGCAAACACATTCCTGTCAGTGTCACCAGAAATTATCAATGTCTTTTTGTCCCCCAGACTCTGTGTATGTGTATGTGCGGGTGAAAGAGAAAGAGATAGAGGGAGAGAGAAAGAATTGGTCAAATAACATGAGGTAAATACAAAGAGTAACAAAAACTCAAACCCGAGAGCCAGACCATATTGGTGCAGGCTTTTTATTTGGTTTCACTAAACAGCCTCCATCTTTTCTGCTTTATCAAGGTCAGAGCGTGATGACCCAACAAATGTCAGCAAACCTAAAAAAAAACCCGCCCTTACAGGAAAGTTAAATGCTTTTCACTTATCATATGTGATACATCATATATAACATGAATGTGATCATGTGCCCTAATATTAATAATGTGATCATGTGTCATGATCATGTGGTGTATTTGGTTTATAGGCCAGAGCACACCAATCAAACAAACAGATATATTTGCAGTTCTAACGTTTGCAGTATAACACATCAGCCAAGTATTTTTTTTGTTTGTTTATTTATTTTTCCCACAGGGCTCTGGCCTTAAAACACCTGCCAATGTTAGAATGTTGGGTTGGTGTGCTCTGAGCTTCGGACCTGTCCTCTTTACATCACAGTTAGCTCCTCATTATGACATATTTGGGCTATGATGTCATAAAGGCTCTGAAGAACTCTGCTCCCCTGAAACCATGACAAAGTTCCATATTCTCCTCATGTGCACTGTGGGAGCTGGACAAACAGCAGAGAATACATATTAAGAGATTAGTTATTGTTTTATGTGCATTCCCTCAGCCAGTGCTGTCATCCCGGGCACACAGTGTCCGGACAGGGAATATGAGCAAGCAAATCAAATATCCTATTTGCATAGATGCTAGTCCTGCACATAGCAGAGACGATGAAAGATGGACAGACGGATGGACGGACACACATACACAGTGCAGACTCTTACCAGTGTCAGCAATAAAGTCTGTGGAGAAAACGAATTGTCAGTGTCCACAAAACTATACTTAGAAACAGTAATATTGACTAGATAGACAACACTTCTTAATCGTCCAAATGCGGCTCAGATATCAGATATTTTTTAATATTTATTTGACATGTAGCACTGCATGTTGCACTGCATTTGAAAATCAACTGTAGCTCCAGAGATGTGTGACTTATACTCTTCTGGACATTGTTTATGCCTGGCCTTGGACTATAAAGTAATTGAGTAGTTTAGACCAGTTTGCTTAATGTTAAAAAAAAAGTCATGGTTTTCTTTACATAACATTTTATTTGAGTGAAAAGAACAATACAAAATATGTACTCAATGGCCAAACTATTGGATGCAGTAGAAGTGATTGGTATAACACTGTGAAAGGAGGGGTTTAAAAAAACCTGGGAGTTTCTTTGCCTTTTCCATTGGTCTGTCTGCTCAGTAGTTTTTCAGCCAGTTTCTTATTTCATGGCTGTTATGGCAGACAGATGCAGTGAGAACATGCTACATAGCTTGTCAAATGCGCCAAGTAACCGCTCACCCATATAACGGACAGTGTGAATTTCAGTAGGGACTCGCACACGGACACCTCATGTTCATTGTGACTGCGTTGACAATCTTCCACATAGTTTATGCACACTGTGATATAGAAGAAGGCTGTCTGGCTGCGGAATGCCTTCTGTCATGAGCAATAGATTCCTGCATAAACACTGACATATCAAAGCCTGTTCAGACTGATGTGTGTTTTGTGTGTGTGTGTCCAGCTGGATGCAGAGTTGACAACGCGCCACGAGTTGCAGGTGCAGTTCAAGAAGATGGAAGGAGATTACGAACAGAAAGTCCAAGAGCTCAGCACAGAGAAAGAAGTAATTGGCAATGAAAAAACGGAGAAAGAAAAAGAGAACCAGACACTATGTGGTGAGATCAGCCAACTCAAAGAAAAGGTATTCAATCACATCCTATTCATTGCACTCCCACGTTATAGTTCTCTTGGTTTATAATACAAGTACATCATTGTTATGCATTGATGGTATATTGATTATATTTTAATAGAGTTGGCACTGATCAAATACTAAGTATCAGTATTGGGCCGAAATCAGCAGGAAATGCTGGACTGAATGTTGGGGGGGGACAAAAGAATGGTCCAAAATAACTTTGAATAGAAACACGATAACATACATTAACATTATGAATGTTTGTTTATTTTTCCCTCACGAAGGTTCCGTTTTTGAGATGTTGGGTTTGTTACAGTGTAGGGCTGAACGATTTGGGAGAAAATATCTAATTGTGTTTTTTCTGACAAATATTTAATTTGCGATATTTTCTGTAAATCAAGATCCAGGCCTGTGTCTAAGAAGACCAGCATATCCAGGCTTAAACACTGAATGTAGTGTACCTGTATACAGCACATGGGTTTTTGGTTGCTTTTGATTGGTCTGACTTATCCACTGTGTTTGCAGATTCTGTGTCATTTGTCTTTACGCTGATTAAATGATCTTTTATAGGCTGGCCACAACACCAGCACCTGTTCCATGTTAGCTTTTTCTTACTCTGATTTTCTTTTAAATAAATGAATTGCTGTTGCATGTTGTCTATACTTATGTTTTTTAGGAGGTTATCTCTTTAGGGGAGAGGCCTGTTCTTAATTTTAGCTCTAATTATTAAAAATATCAATTAATATTCTGATACAGTCCACATGTCAGTAGCCCTATGTTTCATTCCAGCTTTAAGATGAGAATATTGGCACATGTTATTTGTATGATGAAGCAGATGTTTACTCTCATCTTTTCTGCTTCTGTTGTTTAAGTCCTTTCATTCTGCCTTATTCACTTTAATTTTAAAGTTTGCTGTCATCCTTCTGCTTTTGCTGTTCATTGCTCATAGAGAATGCTGAGGCTTGCACAATTACATTTTGAAATGAGATCAACTTGATCAACGAACCAATAAACAGAAGTTGTCAAACTATGTGAAATTCACCTTCTATCAGAAGCCGAGCTCACAAACTGTCAAATAACGAGAGAGGAAACCAGCTGTGTTCTGTGATATAATCTCTCAAATGATGAGCCAAACCTAGAGTCTTCCAGTAAATCCATCAGACAGAGGATAAAATGAAACTAGTCTGACAAGGTAAAAGCAGCTCTGCCCAATCACCAGAAACCAGTTGTAAACTGACCATTACGAGGATCAGTCAGAAGAAAGTGTGACATACTTTTGTGATTGGGTTATCAGTGAAAGTAACTGAAACATTAGAAAGATGGAAAAGCAGAGAGATGAAGTAAAGAAGTTGGAGATAAGTGAAACTACTGTGACATTGTCAGCGAACCCACACACACGAGTACACACCACACTACAAGCAGTGTGTGTGTGTGTGTGTGTGTGTCGGAGAGATAATTACAGTTGATGGCAGTAGGAGAAAAGCGGGAGTCAGCAAAAGTAGAGAAGTTCTTAGGAGGGATGAGAGGAGAAAGGTGGAGGTGGAGACACGTTTGGACTAAATAGGGATGGATGGAAGTGAAAGTGTAGGATGGCAGGAGGATAGACGGCTGTGAAAGAGGGAGGCAGAGGGAGAGAGAGAGAAACTTGCTGAGCTAAACACCGCCTGTCACCTCAACCTGCTTTTAATGTGGAACAGATAAACAGCTGTCAGAAGGCTTGTCATCACATCATACACACACACTCTCTCTCTTCATCCTGGCCTTCTGAACTGCATCCAGGTTTTGCAGCATCAATGGAATCCTCTCCCTGTCACACTTCAAACACTGGCACACGCGCCAACTAAGCTGGGCAAGAAAAGCCTCACTCTTCTCTCTCGCTCTTCTTCTTCTCTGCTCTCTTGCCCTCTCTCTCTGGCTTTCTCTCGCTCTAACTCTTTCCCTGATGTGGTATTAGCAGGCTGGTCATTTTTAATGAGCTGTGTCGAGTTCTGGATAAATAAATGATGCTTCTAATTAGACATGGATTTAGACCCCACTCATCTCTCTCCAATTCCAGCCGTGACCTTTTTAGATCTACTTACTCTCCCTCCCTCTCTCTCCTTCTCCCTGTCCGGGCCTAACCTCATTATTTGTCCCAGAGGCTTTAGTAAACTCTGCTTCTTTGAGAAAACTTTGTTTGACAACGTTGCAGTCCTTTTCTGTATAATGCACATCAGTCGGTAATTTGTGTCTTCTCATTTTTGCCCTTGAACTATATTTGGATATATGTGAAACTCCCAAGAAAGAGAACTGATTGTTATGTCTTTGTTATTCTCCCTTTTATTTTTTTTTTAAATTGGAGCTAAAAGCGGATTTTGGAGGGTTGGGCTGGGGGTAACAGTACATCAAGCATTAGCTAACCATGACAGAGATGTGATTATTATGTAAGTTGCTGAGGTGAAACAATGCTTGTTTCAACTGCTTAGTTACTAGTTTACTGTCTTATAGATATTATAGGTTATTATGACAGGGGATGATATCAGAATAGCAAAGCTGCATGCTAGTTAAATTTTGCAGCCCTCAGGCAGGATCTCTAGCTTTGTGTGACTCACTTGCTATCACTCATGAGCAGATTTAATAGCCTCTCTGTCTGTCTCTCTCACACTCTCTGTCTCTCTGCCTGTCTCCATATATCTATCCCAGATTGAGAAACTATCTAAGGAGCTTGAGGAAGCCAAAGCTAAACCCAAGACAAAAATCATCACAGTACCTGTGCCCATGCCCTCAGCACCTCCTCCCAGCTCCACAAGCCAATCTGCACCTTCCTCTGGCCCTCCTCCTCCAGGAGCTGCCTGCATGCCCAACCAACCAGTACCACCAGGGCCGCCTCCTCCTCCACCATTACCTGGCCATATGGACGTGTCCCCGCCTCCCCCTCCACCTCCACCTCCACCTCCGCTGCCTGGGCAAGGGATGTCCCCACCACCTCCACCGCCACCACTCCCTGGCCATGCAGGGATGCCATTACCACCTCCACCCCCTCCTCTTCCAGGCATGCCTGGACCCCCTCCACCTCCACCCTTACCCGGGCAGGGAGGTATGATGCCACCTCCACCTCCTCCCTTGCCTGGTGGCCCTGGTGTACCCCCACCTCCTCCTCCACCCCCTGGAGCTCCAGGTATGCCTCCTCCTCCTCCAATGCCTGGTATGGCACCTCCTCCACCAGGTGGCTTTGTAGCTTGGGCCCCCCCAATTCCACAACTGCCGTTTGGCCTGGAGCCCAAGAAAGAGTACAAACCAGAAGTGCAGCTTAAGAGGGCCAACTGGAGCAAGGTGAGTAATAGCTGTGTTCGCACTGCTTTTAGTGCTCAGTCAAGTATGTATATAATCTAGGATATCATGTCAGACGATGTTTGCACTCTGACTGATTTGCATCCAGATTTAGGCCATTTCCATATGTGGTACTGAAATCTGATACACACCTATTACGTGACAATGTCACTTCTGTGTGAACAGTCGGAATTCATGCTCATAGTGCTCAGGGAACAGACCCTTTATGTCATCAAAATGCATAACTATGGTTACGTGTTGCATCATCTTTTACTTGGAGGATGAATCAGACAAGTGCGGGAAATGTAAACAAATAATTATGCCACTTTCTAACGCCTAAGAATCATACTAACAGATGTTCAAAATCATGTTTACAGGAAGGATATTTTGAAAAACAGACAGAAACCAAAGAGTTGAAGGAGCCTCACCTAGATCGTGTTTATTTTTTTATTTTTTATTTTTATTTTTTTTCATTTTGGGACTGGGTTTACACCTTTTTGTTAGCATTTTACTTCTCTGCCAGTAAATAAAAGAAACTGATAAAAGAAATCTTTCTCTGTTTCCGCTCTGACTTCCACAAATATTCAAATAAAATAAATAGAATATCATAATTTTTACTCATTTCAGTAAACACTGTGGTCATTTTGGTGTCTCCTGTTTCTCCCCCAAGTTTAAAGTATCAGTTCACAAACATTAAAGTTCAATATCACATGAAGTCTATTAATCTTAATATAGAGGACAGCTGTTTGGTGTTCTTTTGTGCATGTGGGTCAGTTCAGGAATGTTGTCTCTTCAGACTGATGTCAGATATAGGCCACATTGAACAGATAGTATGAATCACCAAAAGGCTAAATCAGATTTTAAGGGTAAATCTAAGTGTAGTTTATCTGATCTCAGAAAGATTACATTTTTGTTTTCACATGGCCTGTGAAAAAATCAGATCTGTGTGACTTTTAGACCAAAACAATCAGTAGAGAGGCACTGAAATGATAATTGTGGACCCATACCAAAGTTTAATATTTTTCATATTCATACCTGCTGATGGCAAAACAAACATTACAAGAAACAATAGCATTACGGATCAATGTAACGTTTATTTGTATAGACATAGATATAATAAAATTAATAAAACACAGGCATTTTGGCTCAGTAGCCCAGCATTGCCTAAGCAGTCTGTTCTTTAGGAGTACGATAAATACAGCATCAAATATCAGTGTTAAATATCGGTAAATTCTAAACATCTATTAAATGCTAATAAATATTTTTAAGCAAATATCTGCTGATACCAGTATGATTCTGATATCATTGTACATCCCTAAAAATGAGGTTTGTTCCACTTCTTTGTGAACATAGCCTCTGTGTATATGAGAGGAATATCGGAATACAAATCACAGGTGCAGCTGAATAGCAGAGCCGACTTGTCCTGGGGGTGAACGTGTGAGTGTGACCAAACCAGAGTGACTCTATAATAGCATATTGCATGTATATGTATGAGTCATGTGTGGCTATTAGTCCTCACTCTTTTTTTCCTCCCTCTCTCTCTGTTTCCTCTCTGTTTCCTCTCTTGTTCCCTCGCTCTTTCTCACCCTCCACAAGAGTTAAAACATCAAAACGGTTCTGTCTCCCCTTTTAGCCTAAAGCTACTCTTTAATGGCTGCATTCAAGTTCATGAGTCTCTCTCTCTCTCTCTCTCTCTCTCTCTCTCTCTCTCTCTCTCTCTCTCTCTCTCTCTCTCTTTCTCTCTCTCTTTCTCTCCCCCCTTCTTCCCGTGGTGAGAGCTCTTTGACGAGGATGTCAGTGAAATTGCTTTTTAATAAGCCTGTTTCTTTTAACTGTGGCTGTGAAAGATAATTAAATTGCTGCTAGAAAGGACAGCATTCTTTTGTAATTTAAATTAACATTTTTTCTTTGCTTTCTCATCCTCCGCTTCCTGCTATCATATACACCCTATGACACACACACACACACACACACACACACACACACACACACACACACACACACACACACACACACACAAATGCTCACGCTCACAGTCAGCCAGTGGCAGTGAGGGTAATGAGAAGCTGGTATTAGAGCATTCACTACTTCCTACACGCTTTCATTTGTCTCTTTCTTTTGGTCTGCCTTTCCTATTTTCTATGTGTCTCTGTTTTCTGACTTTTTCTTTTTGTTAGTCTTTCTGTCCGTCTGTCTCTGTCTATCATTTTTGTTATTTCTTTCATTATTTATTTCTTCCAGGCATTTTGCCATCATGTTCCATCCCTTTCTTCCCACTGTAGCACTTTCTTCTTATTCCTCTCTGAAAGGCAAAGGTAGAGGTAAGGAGAAGTCTGGCTATTTACGAGGCCTTGAGACTAGAAACTACCAGTGAGGGTAAGACAGGGAGAACATTGGTTTGAACAGGTGCTTTCTCCAGCTGAATCTAAATTGACCTTTGTCGACCAGCTGAATCCGTCTGACTTAAGTAATTAAACATTTTCGACAGTCTGTGTTGAGAAGCTTGAATATGGCATGCCTATGGATACACAAATACTCTGGGGAAGAAAATAGGAAAGAAAAAAGAAGAATCAATTCCAAAAACATCCTGATTGAGGCTTTAAATATTTAACACACTCTAATTGGCTGAAAATTTCTCTGCTGTTGGACTGAATCTAATTTTATTCAGTCTTCTAGCTGTGAAGTGCAGGCTTAAAAGAGACAGTATATAATGGGGAAAGTAGAAAGGTTTGTGGCGGCTGCTGATTGATAGGATCAGATGTGTGGAAGGAGGAGAAGAGGTGGGAGAAAGGAAATCCGGATAGAAGGAATGAGTAAGAGAAAAAGCAACAGAGAGAGAGAAAATTAGAGTTGGGGAGTATCTTGTCTTCGCTCCCTGTGGGTATTGGACCTTTTGTCCCATTTTGGTCCTTTGTGTGGAAAATCAGGATCAGTTTTAATGAGTTTCACCCCTCTCTCATCCCCCCCACTCGCTGTTATTTTCTCCCACTTCCTCTCTTCATTATCTTTTCTCCTATTCTTTAATCCTTGTTCTACACTCCGCTCTCGCTTCTTGTGTTTGGTTATTCATTTCTGTAGGCTGGAGATTGTCAGCGTGAGGCTCAGTGTTTTCGCTGCTGAAGTGGGGCCTATGTAGCAGCGCACTGACTGACTCCTCAGAGACCTTTAGCAGGTCCCACTATTCACTCTGCTGGCAAAAGAGATTAATTGACTTGAAGCTGTGTTCATATAGTGTTGGAACAAGTTTCAGAGGTGCTGTGTCTTCCTGAATGCGAAGCTCATTCCAGCCAAAGTAGAATGCTTCTTGTGATAAAGGATTCACTCATGATAATCTATTAAACCTAACCAGTAATTGCTGCACCTGGCAGGATAGTTGTTAATTCTCCTGTAAGAGAGCATTTCAGAAAAAACAGATTTCATTCACTCTGATGAACGTTTGCAGTAGCCTCTACATCTCACCTTAAAATGATCCTATTCAAAACAGTTCTTAAGGAAAGTATTTGGTGTTTTTGATAAAATTATTTTGGTTTGTATACATGAAAACTCAAATGGATTTGAAAAACTGAAATGAATATATGGTGTATATATAATGGATGAAACACAGTAGACTAAGCTTTTGTTAGATTGTTTTGAAAATAGCTTGAGAAATGTAATTTGGACAAAAGTGAGTGCATACTTTATTGGATATTATCTGAATTATGATGAACTGATGCACTTCATTGTTGATTTGCCTGTTGAGACAGATTTTAGCAACCCACTGTGGGAAGTTTTGTTGATTTTATATGAAAAACATTTACATGCATCTTTTTGTAACTTAAGACTAGATTGTATACATACATTTAATATATTTGAACAAAACCCTGAATCTCCAAAACGGTAACTTTACAGGAGAAGGAAAAAACCCTCTTTACTTTTGATGCAAGTCAATGGAACAAGACTTTTTTTCCTCCAAGTAATTGTGGACCATTTCTTTTGGTCCGATTATCATGAAATTTACACACAACGTAAAGGGGGACAGGCATTGTCAAAGTATATCAAAAACTGCAAAACGACAAAAATGGAGATACAAGGTTTCGTCCCAACAATGGCGATATGTAGATTTCAAAATTTGTCTTTAGCCTTTGTTCTCACTTTGAGGAGTTATTCCTGACAAGTACAAGACAAGTTATGTTTCAAAAGTTATCGGTCAGAAGCTGTTGTGAGTGATTGATGGGATATTTTGGTGCTGGATGGTTGAACGGATGGCTGTACAGATGAATGGACGGATGGAAGGCAGAATGGCTGATTCTCTTGTATTGTGTGTTACAGATTGGGCCTGAAGATCTTTCTGAGAACAGTTTCTGGGTCAAGGCAAAAGAGGATCGCTACGAGAGCAAAGAACTCTTCTCTAGACTCACGCTCACCTTCTCTTCCCAGACCAAGAGTGAGTCCTTTCCCTTCTGTGTGTGTGTTTCAATCATAACATACCAAGATATTTTTCATACTGTAGAAATAGATTTATGTTTTTACACTACTGAAGGAAAAAAAAATCCTCTGAAAGGAATCTATTTCTTTTTCCCTTCTTTCTCTCTCTCTCCACATATTTTTGATCCTCCTACGCAGCCTCCAAAGGTAAGCACACCCCCTCATTTTGTGTGTATGTGTGCGTGCGCATGCGAGAGAGAGAGAGAGAGAGAGAGAAAGAGGCGCTATGCTGCTCTGTCCTCAGAGACAGAAAGACAGAAAGAGCACTCACCGCAGGAGGCGGATAGCTTTGCTGCAATGGAGGGATATGAAAAAAAAAAGAGAAAAAGGATGGATGGATGAAAGGAGGAGGGGGAGGAAGAGAGAAATCTCATCGCTCTATAGTGGAAAGTCTCAGTGACAGAGAGGAGGATGTGGGTGGCAGAGAACTGGTTTCCCTCAGGGCTGTGTGTGTGTGTGTGTGTGTGTGTGTGTGTGTGTGTGTGTGTGTGTGTAGGAAGTGTATGTGTGTGTTTAGTGCTCAGGAGAGTGAGCATCACACTCCTTATGACTTTATATGCAAAACTCCTCTCTCGCTGAATTAAACACTGCATTAAAAATCAGCAAGACCTTTTGGGGGGGGGTGTGTGTGTGTGTGTCCTCTGGTGAGTCCACTGTGTGTCAAACTACAGTCAGATATTTGTGTGAGTGTTTTTGCAGCATTGTCTGTGCCCTTCCCCTGCATAGTCACACTGTCACCTCTTACCCTCTCACTCCGTCTATTTATTCCCCCTCCCCTCCTCTCGCCCTCTCTCTCTCTTTCCTTCTCTCTCTCTCTCTCTCTCTCTCTCTCTCTGTCAGAGTGGCCTCTACTCCATATTTATGCCACTGATTCAAAATGTGACACCTTCAAACTTAACAAGGTTGTGTGTGCCAACTGTAGGCGCGTGCACACACACATACACATGCATATAGGAGGTTTTTTATGTGAAAAGAGAAACCTTGAGAAATGTCGTATGTGACAGCTGTGTTGTCTTGCACCATCTGAGCTGTGTGTGTGTTGGTCTGTCTGATTTGATGCAGGATAACCTTTTCTGATATCTGTCTGTAAATGAATGCTGCCCTTTTCAGATTCTCCATCTGTCCAACCCTGTCCAGTGTGTGTGTGTGTGTGTGTGTGTGTGTGTGTGTTTGGCAGTTGTGTTTTGCTGCTCTTTTCTGTCAGGCTATTGCGACCCGATCTTGCATACACCACCCCCTCCTCCTTTCTTCCTCTCCTCCGGTCATCCCTCACTGCCAAGCTAAGCAAAAGGACAACACTGCAAGACAAAAACGACCTATCACCTCCCTCCTTCCCTCCATCCTCTCTGTCTCGACCTCCTCTTTCCTTCTCTCTGTCTCTTTCTTAAAATGGTGTGTGTGTGTGTGTGTGTGTGTATATATATATATATATATATATATATATATATATATATATATATATATATATATATACACATATATACACACACACACCATTTTTAGACTTGAGACAAAAAGAAGCTAAACTGAAGTTTACATGGGTGCACTGAAAATTGTTAGACATAAGAGGTATTGTTGAGTAATTAGATATGTTGCATGTATTTATAAAATGTATTAATATAGGAGGTTTTGTTCTGCCATTATTGATATCTCTCTCTCTCTTTCTCTTTCCTTCTCTCTCTCTTTCTTTCTCCCTTTCTCTCTCTCTTTCTCTCCCTTTTTTTCTCTCTTTCTTTCTTTCTCACTCTCTCACTCTCTCACTCTCTCTCTCTCGCCCGCCCCCTCCCAATTTGTTGCTAGTTGTTTGGTTTGCAGTATGAATGTAAGTTGAATGGTCCCTAGAAAGAAGGTTTCAGTTCGGAGTCATGCATTAACCTCAAGTCTTTTATTTCTTACTGAGTTCTATCATTATTTTGTGTATTTTTTTTTGCATTTTTAGTTTAGTGCATGTTAGCTGTGTCTTGAGGCTAATGAATGTTGCTTAGTTTGTTTTTTAGCAAGTGTTTATCCCTGAACTGAGCAGCTCCAGTGATGTCTGATGTTGACTCTAATTCCTCTGCTTTTTGAAATGTCGACATGTGTTTTCTTCTCCTTCTCACATCTTCCCTTGCGCGCCGCTTTTCATTTTCGATGCAGTATGCCGGTGGACTGCTAGATAGGCCGGTGCCTTTTGAAGTCTATACCTCACATAGCCTAATTAGCCAGTGAGAGAAGGAGTGTATAGCTATATAAATACACGGTATGGAGAGGAAAAAAGCTCTGTGTGTGCGTGTTGTCTCATTATGAAGATGACTCTTTAATGCTCTCACTCTCTCCTGCTGCCAGCCTGTTTTTCCGCTCTCCTCTGAGACGATCACCTCTCTATGGGGCACGCTCAGTGGCACCTGCCAGCCGGCTGTTCCCAACCCCTCACCTCTGCTCGCATGCACACTCGCTCGCTCACCTTCTGGGATGCATGCAGCAGCCTACTTTATTACCACAGCGACCAGCACCATAGATATACCCTCTAAATCACTCCTAACCTTTCCACCTCATATCTCTGCAGAGATCACTTACACACACATGCTCTCGCTCACTCACTCACCTGCACATTCTCCTACCAGAGGTGTACACTAAAACCTCTTTGGAAAACACACAAGCAGGTTTTAATTCCGTATTTACACACACAGTGTAGTGTCTAGGGGTTTGGCTGTTGTCTGTCACCCCTCTGCCATCTGTTGCTGTCTAATTTCTTATTCCACACTGTTCCTATGAGACTCCTCGAGAGACACTTGCTGAATGAAATATGGTGGTGGGCTGCCTGTTGTGCCACGTGGCTGTTCCTATACCTAATGTGTCACACTGTCTCTTCTGGCTCATTTCTGCACATATACAGCTTGAAACCCCTTTGTTCAGTTTTTGTGTAAGCTTGTTAGTGTGCTAATGCATTTGCAGAAACAACCTTATGCACTAGTGTTTCTGCCTGTTTCTGTAATCTGCCCGGTGCTCTGATCTATCTGCAGATCAATAATTATATAAAAGTGTGCAGTGCTGGGTAATATATCACCTGTTCCAGTGCTGATCAATTAAATTGATCTCTAGTTTTTGCCATATTAATACATAGTGATGCACCAAATTCAGCACACTGAGGCAAAAAGCAAAAGCTAGCGATACATAAAAAGTTTACATAAAATAAACTTGCTAAGTTTCAGCTACAGTTTGTGCCACGAATGGACAACAGAGAGTCTGGATATCAGGGCAAACGCTTCCATTTTTTTTTCTAATTGTACTTTGCACTTCGGCACTGTCGTTTGTGAATTATTTTGTCATTTCAAAAACTGACAGCATGCTTTTCAGTGACTTTTTACTTCTACTTTTTGCCGTATTCTGTGTAGATGCTGTGTTTTCCAGTAGTTTATCAAACGTCCTGAAGACCCCCTTTTCATACTTGGCATGAACAGTGATTACAAGTTGCTTGTCTAATGTCCCTTGTAGGTACCATGCAGTAGTTCCATGTGGCTGACATTTTCACCCTTGATCTGCTGCCACTCACTAAATTATGGCCATCTGCAGCCTTTACGATGAAATGGGGTCTGGAGGTTAACTGAGATTTGAATTTGTTGACAGGGATGCACCGAAATTTCGGACACGCAACATTTTTGGTCAAAAATGGCACTTTTATCTTTTGTCTGAAATTTTGGTGGATCCCTTCTGCGGTTAGCCTATCATGGGCACCAGAACGATGAGGACAAGCTGTGCACCAACAGGTACCGAAGCGTAAACGACTGTAGTAATTTCCAAATTACCGCCATAGTGCGCTCTGACAGTCAGAAACACAAGCATATGGGACGCACATATGAGACAAATTACTTTTTCTGAAATTGTGGTGCATCCATTTTTAATAGATAAAATCTTTTGTGTTATTTTAACAGAAGAAGAACAGAACAAAACCGTCCAGTTCATGTCAGATGTGTAAGATATTTGTTAAGCGCTGGTCATCAGTAGTTAAGAAGCTTGTTTTCATTAACTTTTTTAATGCAAATATATTTGGGACATCTCATGTTAATAAAGTTTTTTAAAACACTAGGTGTGTGTGTGCTAGGGAGAATGCATGAGTTTGGATTCTGACCATGTAGGATTTGCATGTGTCTCTCCTCTCACGCTGTCACGATCAATATCCTCTCTTCTACATTTCTAATTTTCTGGCTCTGTTGTTGTGTTATTGGAGTAGTACTAGCTGTAAAGGTCAACAGGATGCCTTAACAGTGCAGGAGCAGAGAGAATGAGGACATTAGTCGGCTTAGCTGTCCTTGGCCAGATATGGGAATGGGTCTTCTACTGTACTAGTTTTTCTTTATTCGCTTATAGATGTGAATGATATTCATTATGATATAGTGGTCCCATAATGTCGACATCATCCATGACACTAGCCTCACACTTTGCTACCTCCTCTCTAGTCTTTGTGCGTCCTCATAAAATGCTGTAAGAAATGTTCTCATAAATTGCTTAGCCTGAATGTTCTGTTAACATGCACTGTACTTGTCATACCACAATCTGTCCTCTGTTAACGCAGCTCTATATAATCTATCTTTTGAATTCCCTCCAGTGCTCTTGCTAGGCATATTTCTCTCATTTTTCTTTTTTTTGCATTTGCCATATAGACTTTTTCCACATAAAGCTTTATACATTACTTATCCCAAGAAATCAATCATATGTATGAAATAATGTCCCGCAAGTCCTCATTAAACATTTATTGTGCCTTTGATGCTCACTAGTGAGTTCACACTACAGGCACCCAGCTGTGTGACTTTGTCCCCATAGTGCACGTATGTCTTTATGACCCAGCAATTACATGCATTATGTGCTTCTACGCCAAGCCATTTAGAGCGCTTATTCTGTGATAAGTTTTCAGAAAGCAGACGTACTCCAGTGACCCCATAAAACCCTTTCAACTACAGGTGTCTAACTGCCTTCCCCTTGCACTTTAGGCTGTGGTCTTAATGTCTCTTGTTTCTGACCATTTCCATGAAGGGCTTATTTTTTTTCTATTTGTTTCCTACTACTCTCACGGGTCACCGTCTTAAAAATCAAATGATGGATGTTAATATGGAGAGCATCTCAGTGAATGTTTCAAAGATTTTACTTCCTCTTGTCTTTTGTTGCTTTTT